GAAATTTAATTGTCGGTCCTGGAAAGTCATGGAAAATTAAAGATTTGTATAATAGATAAGTTGCTGCAGATGACAAAACAAGGCTGGACAACGTAAGATCAAGACAATAAATCAATCAGGCAAACGGAAGACATTTTGGTGGACTGAGGATACCAGAGTTTGTGTCTGTTGAACTGGTTTAGGTAAAAACAAGGAAAGTTTGAGAAATTTTCGAAAGTGACAGCTTAACCTAAGGTCATGGAAAATTTGAAAAGGTCATGGAAATAGTCATGGAAAGTCATGGAATTTTAAGGGCTCAAAAGAGTACGAACCCTGTCGATAGCTTTGGATCCTTTCCATTGCCATCTGAATCTTAATCTCTCTATTGAAGTGTGCAGAAATCAAACTTTTTAATAGTGTTATTCTACACATTTCAAGTGCAGCGATTTGTTTATAGAAAACAAGAAAAATAACTTTACGATATATGTATTGCATGGATTAACTGTTGTCTACATTAACTGATGTTTTATTTAACTCACATTAAATCCACATACATACCTTCCATTGGTTCCTCTATGACAATTCTCTCACGTATTCTAGGCTCTTGAGTTAAAAAATAGATCCCACAATGAAACAGCAAATAACCAAAAAACGAGGAAAGAGAGAAGGGAAGAGAAATGTCGTATTTTTTATTCCAAAACAACTAAAATATTCACAGCACAAAAATCCTGAACAGACCCGTTGCAGTCCTTTCCCACAGGTTGCTTGTCGAGCTCACCGCTGCATCGAACGCTAATAAATAACAATGGAAGAAACAAACGTGTAAATAAGTGGCAAATTTTGTCCTTCATATGCAACAACAGCCTGAATTTCAGCCATTTTCTCCAATAACAAACTCTCACCACTTCCTAACTGAAGGACACAGGTAAAATTAATGCCTACTGTTTAAAGAATGCCATTCCCACGCTGTAGGAACAGCATTCGTTAAAAAGTTGAAGAAAATACTACTTCAAGTAAAAACAGTTGTTCCAATATTCACAATTCAAAACAATATGAAATGTTTGCTTGCTATTAAAGCATAACGACTTCAATTCCATGAACTGCACAATGTAAAATCTGCAACCGACTTTTTACAATTACTGATTTATCACCTTAACCATTATAAATTGCAACTAATTATGTAAAAAATAGCTTAAAGTCAAAATAATTGATTTAATGTTTAACTTACACATCTTTCTACTTGTAAGCTCACCAAACAGACCAAAGGAGAAGTAGACCTATTTTCCAGAGAGTTTGAAAGTCAACAATGCACTTTGTCTTTCACAGTCACGTGGAAAACATACTATTTGTTATCAAAAAAGATTGATTGACAAAATTTTAAAAAAAAGTTTTTATTGGCTCGTTTTTGTCTTAACATCTATAACTAGGCAGCAACTGGCAAAGGTTAACATCAATTGCATTAGGGTTGGGTCGACTGATGTTTGTCCTGTAAAAGTAGCTAGAAATCTAGGCTTCTTGGTTTGATGAGAAGCTCATTATGGCAACTCATATTAGCAAGTTATGTGGTGTTCCCTTTTACCATTCGCAAGTATTTGTCTCGAGTTTCAACAGAAATGCTTGTCCACATGCATTTATTACATTTCTTGTTGATTTACAAGAAGCCTGGTTTGGACATTCTGTTCAAAAGTTTCTGTTCAGTCAGTAACCTCGGTTGTATTTCTAAATTGTCAGAGAGGGCTCAGGGCTGAGCAGTTTATGTAGCATCTGACTGTCAACAATTTACATTCTCATCTTCAATTGGCACATAAACAGCAACATAGTATGAAGACGGCGCTTTATATTAAGTTAAGAATGATATTTTGATGTCCATGAACGAGCAACATGTCACCTTACTCGTATTTTTTGATTTATGTGCAACTTTGGACACAATACATCATGATAAGCTGATTAAATTGATAGGGTTTCATCTGTAGAGACATGTTTTTCAAATTGTTGCCATTCTTGAGGCCGGGCAACTCTGAAAAAAATTGGTACGTTGGGATTACTTGGTGTTTTTTTCTGTCTGTGTTAATATATTATATATCTTTTTGGACTAACCTACCTAACAGAACAAATAGAACTAAAAAAGCTTTTGTTGTTGAAAGAATTTAGCGAAATTTGGATATTGTGAGTATTAGCAAAATCAAAAGGATCTTCTCTCCCGGAAATTATGTATCATATTGTTCTTAAGTAACAGAAAATAAATTATAATGTCCCATAGGTAGTTTAGATGAAAAAATGAGAAGTGTGATAACACAACGAGCCACACATTCAAGCGAGTACTGAACAGACATTTTAATCTCTATCAAGTGTCTCGAAGGTGCAAACGAAACTGAATATATAATGAGTCTAGCAGCACGTGCAAATGAAATTCAACACAGGGCGTGAAAATTACAATATTATAACAACAAGTGGCTTTCATGAAAATTTCATGGAACACCTACACTAAAACAGAAATGAAATTAACACAAATCGTCTATATTCCTGATAGAAAAATTCGGATATTTTGCCGTTTTTTACATTTTTTGAAACAGCTATAAGCTTACCATGTTATCGAAAATGTTCCTTTCTGGCCAATCTATTGAGAACAAGAAGACCTTCGAATACTTGTATGCGTAATGTGCTGGTGTAAGTAAGAACTACTGGTATGTTGAATGGCAGTGGAAAGTTGAGTAGTGTATCATCAACAAATGTGTGCAGGAGAGACGGAGATGTTCTGTTAGGGACTAATACACTGGAAGATGAGTTACACACAGGGGTTCCTTTGCTACTCAAAACGAAACTTACATCAATATTATCACCATGTATGCTATAAGTATGGGTAGTTCACTAAAATTTGCATTCCTTTTTTTTAATGTTCTCAAAACATGCACTTCCACATTCAACAATAGCATGTAATGTATCATAGTTCCAATAACTACAGGGCTGCAAGGCTGTGCCCTAGGGAAATTTCAGGGAGCCCTTCAGGCTCCCAAGCATTTTAGCTGGGGTGCCCAGGCCTAAAAGATCTAGATGGTCGCCCAAATAGAACTTTAAGGGAGCACTTTGGTCTCCCATTCTAGCTGGGGTGCCCTATATGTTATTGAATGAAACGTTGCATAAAGTTGTTATATAATTGAGTTTACATCTTATAATTTGTATCAAGACATTGATTTTGCTCTTAACCCCCCTCTTTTAATTCTGTTTTTTTTAACGTTGTTCGTTTTTGTTATTAATTATTTCTTTTTCTTGGTGTTACTTGTTGATGTAAGAATATGCTTATTTTTACCTGAGACATTTCAGCAACAGCAGAGATTGAACCACTGGCCCATATAATGGTGCTGCTTTGCGAGAATGAGCGGTCAGATTCTTCCCCGAGTTTGGTGGGCAGGTGAGCTAATGCGAAGATCAGCTCTGTCTTTAAACACTGGTAGTAAATAAGTGAATTTGGTCTTGTAACTGCTCGATCGATGAAAACATTAGCGAAATAGTTAAGGATCATGGAAATGGACCCAAGGTACATTACAATGATTTCAAATCCGTACAAGATATGAACATCTAGCGTTGATTTATTCTTAACACAGCAGCATGCTAATTAAAGCCATATGTACTTGGTAGATTGGTGTCGTTCGTTTAAATTTAGATTATGTAGCACTTCCAAACCTGTTGCAATGCAGATGTCTTCTAGGAATTTTCCTTTCTTATCAATGTTGTAGATACAATAACGTAATTTTTTTTTATGGCTGGTGTGTAAGATGTACCTGTGAATTTTTAATAAAGGCAGAGGTTCCATTAAAGAAAGCTCATAGGGGGTGTTCTTGAACATGACAATGGCAGAGGTTCTTCCTTCAAATTATTGGCATACCCTCCTTGTTGATTTTGCTACTTTCTTTGTGGTAGGATTATCAACAAACGAAAAGAAGTAAAATATTGGCCCTTTTCATTAGATTTTGTTAGTAATGTTTTTGGGCGTGTTATTTTGGTATTTTTCTTTAGCCAGAGCTGTTTCAAGGTGCCCCCCCGCCATTCACACAATGTTTTTTCCAGGATTTCAGGTAAGGGAATTCTTCTGAGCACCCCACAGCGTTTCATAAAAGTTACTGTGGGGGATCGATCCTTCATGGCTGCAGCACCACGGCGTTAATTGGAACAGTCTTCCTGCAACGGTCTTGGAACAGTCTTCCCGTAAGCATTAGATCTGCTTGCACCGAACGTGATGTTAGTACAATTAATTTATATTTAGATTCTTATAAAGATTTTCTGCAAATTACTCTTCTTATAACCACTTGTAATAGCATAGTTTTTGTCTGTGATTCTATTCATAGTCATTGTAAATAGGCTCTTAGTTTTGTATTTATTGTAATCCTTAAAGTGGACTGATATGGCTCCAAGAGCGCCAATAACAACAGGCACTACAATGGCTTTTTGCATGCGCCACACTTTTGCAATTCATCTCTCAATAGTTGGTATTTCTCTAACTTCTCAAGTTCCTTATCTTTCACCCTGTCATCACCTGGGATGGCAACATCAGTTATGACAACCTCTCTCTCCTTCTTGTCTTCCTGCTTCAATTTTCCGATCACACCGGACTGTGAAATCCCTCAGTATCTTGAAGTTTTCACTTTCCACCACTCCCTCCGGCTTCTCTTCACGCCAGGTATAAGCTCTTCTTTTTCCTTTTATTATTATTATTATTATTATTGTTACTATCATCATCACTATCATTTTTACTTTTCTTGTTATTTACTGGGTCTGGTGCTATACACGACTTTCATAATGGCGGACCGCTCGGGCGGAATGGTAACTACTAACATCAGAGCTAGGCTAGTTAGGCCACGTTCAATTATGAAAAACGTAAACACATGCAAATGCGTTCCAAATCTCTCTCGTATGTAGCCTGTTTTTTGCTGTATCGTCGAACATGATAATGTGAAAACGTAATCGAGTGTTTTTTATTTATCTGAAATCGAAATCACTCAGATAATTACCACGGGCTTAAAAAAATGCCCACGCACTGCTGTGTTCCCGAGTGCACCAAGAAAGGTTGTCGCGAGGAGGATGGCAGGAAAGTCTCGTTCTTCAAGTTTCCTGATCATGTCGGTCGCCGTAAACAGTGGCTTCACGCCATCAGAAGAGAGGAAGGAAAACATTTTCTGATCACGAAGGCAACCAAGGTCTGTTCGAGACATTTTAGGCCGGAATATGATTTTGTAAAGACCCTCGTTGGCAGAACGGAGCTGCGAGGGAATGCTGTTCCTTCGAAGTTTGCGTGGACTCGCACCTCTCCCCAGAAACGTAAAGCGCCAGCAGTACGCGAAAGCATTGATGAAACAAGCCGAAATCTTTTTGAAGAAACCGGAACGAATGACGAGCCAGAAAACTCAGAAAACTGCGAAGATGAAGGGGAAAATCGCATAGAAGAAAGGGAAACTGTGGAAAGCATCCTGTCTGAAAACTTGAAAATGGATGCTGAGACCCAAACCACAGAACCAAAGGAAGGCACTGAGACCTCGCTGACACAACAAATAGTGGACCTTGAATCCAATCTTGAAAGAGCTAAGCGACGTATTGAATCTTTGCAAAACCAAGTTTTCACTATTGAAAGATTTCAAAGCAGTGATGCGTCAATCCATTTTTATACTGGATTTCCAAACTGGAAGGTATTTATGTCTGTTTTTAGATACCTGAATCCTGGTGATATGGGTGAACACATCACATACTGGTTGTCTTCAAGGAAAAATGTATCGGCCAGCATTTATGAGGAGGTGGCAGCTAATGGAAGCAACAAAGGCAGAAGAAGGTCATTGAGGCCTATTGATGAATATTTCCTTGTGATGTGTAGACTCAGACAAGGCATTCCTGAGGAGCACTTAAGTCATCTGTTTGACATATCCACTTCAACAGTTAGTCGGATTTTTATCAGCTGGATAAATTTCATGTATTTGAGGCTAGGCCAACTAAACATTTGGCCAACAAGGCAAGTAATTAATGAGACAATGCCTGAAGATTTCAAGCAAAAATATAGTTCTACAAGAGTTATTATCGACTGTACAGAGGTGAGGTGTCAAATGCCCAGTAGTTTGCATTTAAATGGGGCACCACACAACCCTGAAGGGATTAATTGGCATTTCTCCTGGCGGTGCAATAACCTTCATCAGCCAGCTGTATACTGGCAGGATCTCTGACAGAGAGATTGTTGTCAGAAGTGGATTGTTGGATTTGCCATTGCAAGATGGAGACTCAGTCATGGCAGACAAAGGATTTACAATCGAGGACTTGTTACCTTTAGGAGTTTCCTTGAACATTCCTCCCTTTCCTGGCAGCTCAAATCAAATGCCAGCACAAGATGTTGTTCGCACTCAGGAAATTGCAAGCCTGCGAATTCATGTTGAGCGTGCCATAAACAAAATCAAGAATTTTCACATTTGGGATGGAGTTGTGCCCCTCCATCAGTTTGGGGTTGTCAATCAAATGTGGGCAGTCTGTGCAATCTTATGTAATGCTCAACCAAACATTATTTCTATTTGAATAAACTGGGACAAGAACTATTCTTTGAATATCACTATAACATTAGCTTTAAGTGGTCCAAAATTATGTACATGTGTAGACAACCGAATACCCAGGGGGTGATAATATTTTGTTATTGTTGTTGTTCAGTTTGTAAAGTGGCTATTACTCCTACCGGTCTCCACTCACATAAGAAAAAAGATGTGATCCAATTTAAAATTGTGTGACATTTTATTCCTGTGTATATCAGCTCAAAATCAAACCAGACAGTTTCCCTGCTATTGGCAGTCAATATAAATATTTCCTCAGTTTTTTTTTATTCAAAAGAAATAACATTGTGGTGCCATGCATGCTTCTTATTACATTTTTCATTAAAAAATATCAAATAACATGTGACTTACATCTACAGACAGTGTAAAAGTTATTTTTGTTGAAAAAATTTGTGTCCTATGATCAACACTACAATTCCCTGTACTGCACAAATATGTACACCATTAAGTAAGGGAACTGTCTTTAAATCTAAAATAGTCTCTCATAAAAAGGAACAAGCACATGGACAAAAGTAAGAATAACTTGTGTATTGGCACAAGGGTGTGGAGAATCAATCTCCTCCCAGTTACAGTGCAGCTACTCCAACTAAGACCACCCAAGCAAATTCTGCCAGTGGAAATACTCGAATGAAATCCTGCAGTGCCAACAACAGATTTCCCACAAATAATAATTTTATGCAAGTTGTGTGCTTCAAAAGTAATAAATTGGAACCATTTGTATTGCTTTCGCACTCTAATACTATTGGACAATTTGGAAAGCTTTTTCTTGGGTGGCCTTGTTTGGAGTAGTGATACTGTAACAAGACATAAGTAAATTAATTACTGAATTGCCACCAAAAAAGTTGAAAAGCCTACAATATATACAATCAAAGGGCATTGAATAGCTAATTATCTACTGCATTTTTCTGATAGTCCTCAGCAGCAAACTTAATGAAGTGTAAAAAATAGTAAGTTAAAAGTTCAGTTTGTAAGTTTCTCCAGTAGTCAGGATCAAAGGCTATCCTCTCCACGTACAGTCCCTTGCTGGTATAAACAATGAAATCACACCACTTGCTTCCAGTTATCCCCATTTGTCCTTGCACTTGTGCATAGTATGCGTGATCCCTTTTCAGTCTGCACTCTTTGTCATTTATTTTCTCCATAAAAAAATTGGGATCAGAGCATGCATCCAAGGGTGTTTCATGGAACTTGCTGTAGGGACACTTTACCTCTCCCAAACCAAAGCAATGTACACATCCTTTATCCACAATTTTTGCATCAGGCGAGGCACCTAGTACTGGACAACTTTTTGATACGACAAATCCACTCCTTAAAACAGCTACTGGTGTTTTCTGGTTGAACATGAATTTCTGATACTCTTGAAGAGCGATGGGTTCATACTTAATGCCATGGGCAACATATTTCGAGGAAAATGGCTTTGGGAGCATGATGGACTGTGCATAGGTATCATGATTCCTTTTCCTCTTGGTAATCGCTTGGAAGTTAGAGGCAGTAAATCGATAGGTGCGTTCTTGCTTCCACATTTCAGATGCTGATTGATCCCTTGTTTTGCTTTCGATTTCATGGATTTTGTCTTCATCCACATTTAGAGTAGACAGCAAGTTCTTCTCAGAATCTGAGAGCTCCCGAGGTGTGGTCATGTCCTCCTCATTTGTCATAGGAAAGCGAGGATAATGAGTGAGGTCCAGGGCAACATCATTTACTCTCTGAACTGAGCCTAGATTCGCTTGAGCAGAGAAATTCGATTCTGTGAAAGAAGTTTGATAACTCAAGAACGACCCAACAGGACTTTTGCCAAATTTGGTATCACTCAGTTCAAAAGCTAGGTTTTTTTCTTTGTTCATATGAGCAAAACCCAAGTCTGGATCAATTCCTGAAAGTTCAGATTTAAAAGCCTTCTCTCTTTCCAGATCATGTTGTGGTTGTCTTCTGGCTTCATACAATAAGCATTTCACACCACCGCCACAACGTGAGGTGCTTGGTTCATCCAGTTTTGCCTTTTTTACCACAACCTCCATGACAGGTTGAGCTACTATATTTTCGCCTCCACCTTTCTTGTTCCAGGATTGAAGCTGGGAAGTACATGCTACTTGCGGATTCTGGTCTGCGCCTTTTCGTAAGTCCCTTGTAGTTTTAGCTTCATATAGACTGAATTCGCAAAGTTTCAGCATTAGCGCCGATGTGTGATTACAAAATCCCACTTTTCCAGCCACACAGCTACAAGTGGAATTGAGAACGTCACCCTTAACAATACACCAATTTTAGCTGATGTGGCGGGTCGTTTTTCCTGTAACTGTGGCAGCATTTTGCTTTGAAATAAAAGCAGTGTTCATCACAGGTTGCCATGATTTCGTGAAGATATTCATCTTCAAGAAACGTCTTTGCTTTGCGAAGTGTTGTTGGCACAGAATGGTGATGAATATTTCCAATGTTCTTACCCGATGTTCGTTCATTTCTGCTCGGGTAAACATCGGCATTTTTTCCAGCGAATTACCCCATCCACTTTCTGGGTAATTCACAACATCGACCTTGGCGACCGGATCTGTATTCAATGAATCTGCGATCTGCTGTTTTCTCTTGGTATATAATCCGGTTGGCTCAGGATTGACGATGGTTTTGTCTCTTCCAGAGGTAATATACTCTTCAACTCTGAAAATAAAGTTACATGTCAAGCAAAGGAATTGAAAAAATAAATTTTGTCAAGAAAAGAATAGAAGTAAAAAAACCGATTGCATCGTAAACAAACCGACTCCTTACCTTTTCACAAGTTCCGCTTTCGTCTTCAGTCCCTTTGCCCGATCACCTCTACACCGTAACCAGAACTTCAACTCATCATTTTTAAGTTCAGATGGTTTTCGTCCATGCAAAGAAGCACCAGGGATATCCTCTTCGGTAAGAACTGCGACGCGTGTTGTCAAAGCGGTTGCCATGTTGATGACCTTTCTGGCCTAACTAGCCTCGCTGTGATGTTAGTAGTTACCATTCCGCCCGAGCGGTCCGCCATTATGAAAGTCGTGTATTGTGTGAATTATTACAAGTGATCTCCAGTCTGTAACAATGTAATATACCCTCTTTTTGTTTGGGTTTGTTGATTCTTAGTGGCAAATCCATGTAAACCTTCACAAAACCAAAGCCGCCTAATGCCAGTGATGGAACACACAAATATATAGACATAAATAACAAAACAGCAAAGAGAAAAGCAACTTGAAGTTTCCCGATATTTCGGACGGACAAGCCATTCTTCAGGGGATTTAACACAGACACAGACACACACACACACACATTTGTCCTTTCATGATCTTGCCTACAGGGAGAGGTAGATCTGACAACCAGTAAGCAAAGAGTAAAAGTGGGTATGTGGAAAAGCAAGGAAGTGACTGTTCTCTCGATTTTACACCTTCTATAATTTAAAATGAACAAAAAATGTACACATTCACTTATGTACACGTATAATAGGAGTGCTAAATGCATAAAAAATGCAGAGCGCAACACAAACGAAAAGGAGAGAAGTTAATGTGAGTGGTCATATACCTCATTCCTGGAGACAAAGTAATGCCCAATGATTGATTGGGTGATGTAATGATTCAATGCATAATAGAATGTAGACTGGGCAGTAAACTATGAGCAGCTGGTATTTTTTAGGTCGTGAAGAGAAAATTCGAGGACATGAGCTACCACGATGATTAACGGTTGATTTAAGTGGGTTTGTTTATTCATTTTTTTGGCTGGATCAAACGTATACAGCTTGGGGCACACATTTCACCTCTTGTCAACCGCGTAGTGTTGAAATGGATTTGTCAAAGGAGAAGCCTTGAGAATCCTACGAACAAGCTCCTCAGAAACTATGATTGACAGAGGCTACCCACAAACTTTGATAGAAAACCTTCTATCAGATAAAGATTCTATATAAAGTTCACGGAGAGGAAGTCTCTGGCAATAATGTGAGAGGGTAGTATTACTACCTATACCCTGTCAGTGCTCCTGTGACTGCTTTCTTAAAGCGACCCAATTCTTTTAGCAAGACTTTGACTTCCAGAACAACAGTTAAGTATTTGCTCATTTATCTTTGCCTAAATGCAGTGCAGGGTAGTGAAACAAAAGATGAATGGTCATTCCCGAGGATGTGCGAAATGTAACTGGCATGGGCACATTATTTTTGAGAAACAAAAACTCAGCTGGGGACCTGCTATGAGGAAACAGGACCTAACTCCTATAGAGTGCTCGGAATTGGTAGTTACTGTATGCGAAGAAAGTGTAGTATGTAAAGTAGCTAACAGTAAACAAGTTTCAAGAGGAAGATAAACGACTATTGTTTTTGTAATGTGTAAAGTAATATGTATCTTTGTGTATATTCACTGTTCAAAGAACGTAATAATTGTTTTTAGATGAAATGGAAAGAGAGTGAGTAAGCCCCTCTGGGTATTACTTCAGAGAAGAGCAACGTTCCCGGAATTTTACATCTTCCGCTGCTGGCTAACAAAATTGTTACTGACAAACCTGTTGAAGAGAGCAGCGATATCCTGACTTTGCCTGAGGTAATATACCTGAGGGCTGCGTTGACTTTGCATTGTATAACCACATCACATATCGCAAAGTTGTTTGAGCTTCATTCTAAAAGAAGCCTTGCC